TCCTGTTCATAACAGGAGGCTGCAACTGTCGCTGACATCTCGAGAGGGATGCAGATCCGTGCGCCACTGGCCTTCTCCTTGTCCTTCCCCAGTCTCCTGCTGCTTCTGCCTCCTTTGGGATGGGCCCTCAGTGCCTGGAGTACCAGCCACTCGTCACCAGGGAACAAGGGCCTCTCCCTCTTCACCACACCAGTCCACACCCGGCGACGGTCTGTGCAGGTGCCACCCTGCCTCCTTGGGTAGAATGGCCCCTGTGAGAGGGGCTTTGGTGGGAGCAGGTCCTGGAGGACCATCCCCGGGCTGAGGTGTCTGTCAGTCTCCAGCACAGAGCTTATGGCGAGTGCAGGCACTGGACACCTGATCTCTCTCCCTGGGGCATCCCTTCGCCTCCCTGCCTCCTTCTGATGGAGAACAAATACTAGGACTTGGTCAAGCTGTGGGCCCACCCTCTGGGCCAGCCAAGGAAGGCAGCACAGCTGCCTAAGGGGAGGAATCGCCAAGTCCAGCCTGGTCACTAATTACAGTGTACGCCAGGTATTCAGCTGAAGCTGCCTGGAAACAGCACAATGGCTCTGTTTTTGTCAGACGTTTTTGTTCTGTGTGTTTTCAGTCCAGTCAGGATTTTCTAGGGATACCTTTGCCATGATTCTCTCTTTTCTCAGCCCTACCTGGGCAGTGTACATCCGCGCGGCGTTGTGGCTGCTCTCTCACCCAGTCAGCCTGAACAGGCCAAGGCCCTTGGCCAGTTTGCATCAGGGCAGGGGGAACCGGTGAGGATGCAGGGGGGCCGGTGGCCGGGTCTGGGATGGCCACAGGTGATAGAGCCTGTAAGCTGGGCCAGAAGGTGCAGGAGGACAGGAGGGCACAACCCTGGGGCAGCCTACTTTCAGAACAAGTACCCATAGCCCGCGGAAGATTCTGGAAGGAGCCACCTTTCAAGTCCTGCCCCTCCGGGAGATGGTTTCTGCCTCCTGGAGTCAAGGCTGAGCCTGGTCGAGATCACACAGGCTGTGTGCTTGGGCAAGGTGAGGACAGAGCCATGGGGACCCGGCCGAACCCCCTGTGCCCTGTGAAGTACAATGTATACAGCACTGTATAATATTTATAAATATTTATAAATATATATATATTTAGTACATACACTCCCCCCAGTAGAACCACTCCCTTCCTTGTCCTCCAAGTGAGGCAGTTCACCCAGAGTCTATGTTTTGTCCCCACCAGCCCAATCCTCATCTCATTGGAGGCTTGTCTGTTTGCCAAAGTCCAAGCCTGTTTTCCCTCAGAAACCAGGGCTGTGTCCTTCATGATGTGCATGGGAGCGGAAGCACTAATGTATTTTCTCAGGTTCACATATCGTGTCCTGCACGGAATGGCCAAGTGAACCTGTGGCCACTGACCAGCCCACAGGAACCTGTGTTGCTAATTAACCAAACCACTTAGACAGCAGTACTCCAGCCCCGAATCAGTGTGCTGGGCAGGCTCAGGCCCCCTGACCAGGTCTGGCCAGCTTTCACCTGTTTGTCCAGAAGGAATGTGGCACTGCCTGTGTCCCAGTCCACAGGTCTGAGGTGCATGGGGTGGGGTGCTGGAAACCATGTGCTCTTTCTGGAACCCCATTGTAACAGTGGGAAATTGTAACCTACCCCACCATTCTTTTAACATTGTTTCTGTACGTGCTGACTCTGACTAATATGTAGCTTGTAGATGAACAGCATGTTTGTATAAGAAACTTCAAAAGATTACTCACTCCAGCCTTCAGGCATCCTAGCTCCAGGAGATTTGCTGACCTTCAGCCGTGGCCCCAGAATGACTAAACCAGGATGGTACACCCGGGACTATCACTTGCCTTACCAGAATGGACTGCTCATCTTCACATAGAGAACTTTGGAACCCCTCCCTTGATCTCTTTGCTCTGTTCCCACCTCCCTCCTTATAAAAACCTCTGCCTGCACTGAGAGGGGGAGATGGGCTTTGAGACATGAGTCCCCCATCTTCCCGGTGGCCAGCACTTGAAAATAAGCCACTCTCCTTTATGTCAGCACCTGCCTCTTGAGTGTTGGCTTTTGCAGCAGGAGGCAGCTGGACCTGCTGTTTGGTTCCACCATAAGATACAGTTGTTTTAGTCCATGATTTGTAGTGGAAGCCATCCTGGAAACAGAATATGCCTGCGGAGCCGGGTGCGATGTAAATGCCACGCCACCCAACTGTGCAGACTTTCTCATATTTTCAGTCTCTGCGCCTGCTCACTTTGTCTGCAGCATAAGCACCAGCCAGTGACTTATGGGAACAAGTAGTAAACTCTCCAGTAACTTGATTTCTCTGCAAATTGAGAAGAGAGGGCCAGCTGTCAATTTTAACAGCAGAGCAGGTATGCTGAGTTCCCAGCCAGCAGTGAGGGCAGCCTTTGGGGCAGCTTGAAGGGTGTAGGAAGGGGGGTCACACCTTGGGAACAGGAGGGAAGTGTCACCTACAGACTTGTACCTTCTTTTCCCTCTGCAGCAGACTTGTAAAATAATCACAAAGATTGGGAAAGGACATGTTTTAAACTAAGTGTTAAAAATAAAGGAAAGGCTATAAACTTATAAGATTAAGTTAAAGAGGGACTTAGAGAAAGTTGTGTGTTCTCTGTGAATATTGGGAAATAAAGTATTTCTGGAATTAATGCTCCAGGCTTTTACTGCACGATGTGAAATAGACTGTTACTGTAGACTCAGCATAGGAGAGACTCTTATAAGAGCCAGAATCAGTTTGTCTGAGTAGGACACAATAGAGACCAGGAACACATCAAACTGGCTCTATTAGCAGATTAATAAAATAGAAGAATATCTGTCAACATAGGCTGAAAAGTTGTGGAAGGCACACATAATGTTAACAATGAGACTGTAGATCAGGACTGATGTCAAGTCACAACGAATGTCACAGGCAGCTTCCTTCAATTATTCCAAAGTTACGCGCACTGGGAAGTTTAGTCGGGGAGGAAAAGTCCGAGGACTCTCAGAGATTTCCCCATTGACAAAAGCACTGAAAGGAATCAAGAAAAAAGAGAAATCTTGATAAACATGAGCCTTAGAAACATTGAAACAGCGGTCAGAAATCTCTGTAGAAATTTCTCTTAAAGAGGCAGCTGGCTGGCATCCTAACATCATTCCCACAGGATCCACCCGCGGGAGGCAGCACAGGAGGGGACCGAGGGTCAGGATCACCTAGGATCCGGCGGTGACTCAGTCTCAGCGGCATGGTCACAAACAGAGGCAGGGATTCCTGTTAAAAAAGAGACCATAGGTGTTGCTTCCCAGCACTCTCGCCAGTTTTAATATGAGACAAGCTGCGAGCACAGTTTTAATATGAGATGGTGAGTGAGGGCAGGCACGTGGTTCCCCACTGGAGACAGGGAGACCTGTGATGAAGTCCAGCACCTGGTCACGATGTAAAGCAACACTGAGCTCTCAGAGAGCCAGGAATGGGAAGGTATGTTCTCTCCAGTGAAAGACATCTACTGACAGCCTAGAACCAGCAACCACTTAATCGGAAGCATTGTCGCCAACGTCAGCGGGACAGCAGGTCTGCTGTCGCTGCTTCTGTTCAGCCTCATCCTGAAACACGAGCCTCCAGCTGGGCTGTTGGTACTCCGCTGCTGAAACTGGAGGAGAGAAGGGCCCTTAAACATTGCCATCCCTAGCAAAACGTGGTTATCAGAGCTGCCCTGTGCAACAGGCGGCCAGAGCCACAAGTGGCTTTTGAGCACTTAAGACATGGCGAGTATAAATTGGGATGCCCTGTAAGCATAAAACTCACACTGGATTTCTAAGACATGAAAGATGTATGGACTCTCTCGTAATTTTTGTACTGAATACATGCTGAAGTGATAGATATTTCAGGTACATTGGGTTAATAAACTATTAATTTCATCACCTGTCTTTTTTTTTTAATGTGGCCACTAGAAAATTAAAAATTACACGCATGGCTTGCATTGTATCATGTCGGGCAGTGCTGGTCTTGATAGGGAGCCCAAGGGAATCTGCAGAGGCCGAAGGAAGAGTTAGCACGTGCTCAGCTGCAGGTGACGGAGGCCCAGCAAGGCGCGGCGGAGCGGGGCCGTTCAGGCTCGGTGAGATTGAGACCTCACTGCAGACCTTCTCCTGTCTCCTCTGTCTTCTCTGCATCACACCTACATACTTGAAATGTGTACTATTGCAAATAAACACTGCGTCTATGGATCGTAAAGCCTTTGTAAGTTTTTTATTCTGTCATCCTCTCCTGGTCTGTCTCTGACGGACCATCGGAGTATGGGCTGGTGCAGAGCCAGAGCATCACTCTGTGCATGGAGTACTTGTGTTTTAGTGACAGCCGCTGTCCACCCAGAACTCCCCCGCCTTGACCACTCCACCAAACTCACGTGTCCATCACTCCCACTCCCACCCCAACCCCGTGTTTTCACAGCCCCCTCACTTCCAGGGCCTGCCCTTCTCCATGGAGCCCCCGCCCACCTTCCCGCTGTCCTCCCAGCCAGACCCATGGGGGCACACTCTCTGCTGGGCTCCCACCCTGTGACTTCCTTGGGCTGGAAAGCCCCCCGAATTCCCTGGACTTCCTTGTAGTCCGGTCTTGCCAGCTCCATACCTGCTCTCTTGCCGCTTCGCAGACGGCAGCTTAGTGCCATGAAAGCATCCTCATGTCGCGTAAGGCACAGCTTTGGAGCCACCTGGGAGCATGGGAGTCAGGGCAGAGTGCTCTTGACTCAGGGGGAGAGCTCCCCACCCGATTCCTCGGCCATCCCTCAGGGAAAGCTTCAGGATGGGGTGGGGAGGTGGGGCAGCAGGTCACCCGTGACCCTGCACAGGGTGCCGTTGCTGCTTGTGTTGCCCAGCCATTTGTGAGAGGGCAGCACCCTGGCCAGGGCAGGTCCAGCACCTGCTCCTGGGCGGCTTCCACAGGAGGAGTCCAGAGAAGAGGTTCCCTGGTGACAGTGCTTCTGGAATGACCTCAGTCTGTCTCCCCAGATCGCGGTCATGACGCTGACGCTCTTCCCAGTCCGGCTGCTGCTTGCTGCCTTCATGATGCTGCTCGCCTGGCCCTTCGCACTCATCGCTTCCCTGGGACCCGCAGAGAGGGACCCGGAGCAGCCCCTGGCCTTGTGGCGGAAGTAAGTCCTCGCCTGTGATGCTCTGATGTGGGGAGTCACAGGACCATTTCTTCGTTCTCGCGGCTTCTGTCCACCCAGCGTGGACCAGTCCCTCCTCCCCTTCCTGAGTCAGTGTGCGCCAGGGCTGCGCTCTCTCAGTGGGGACACTGCTGCCCCTGCCACCTCCTTTGAGGCTGACAGCTTACCCCCGGCCACCTCCCTGCCAAGGTCTTCAGCTTCTAGCAGGGTCCTTCGAGCCACATGGCTCCCTTTTCCATGTCCTGAGCACAGAGATCCCTCATTTTCCATGTATCCCAGCCCCGCACATGGCAGCTGACATGTGTTCCACTGGTTGCCCCTGGTCTGGTCTCTGCAGGGTCAAACGTCCCTCCTTGCTTTGTAGACCCAAGTGCTGCCCTGCTTTTACGTACTGAATGTTATAAACCACAGTGCTCTGTAGATGGACCTGTAAACACATCTCAGCTAAAGACCCAGCATGGACCTCAAAAAGTTAAATCAGTCCCTATGTTTTCATGTTTATTTAACTGCCTAAAGCTGTTAATGTCAGAATAGCGTAAGAATTTTGGTATTTTTAGTGTCTTAAGAGATATCATTTCTGTTGAAAACTCAAGTGCTGACAACCCTTCTAAGTCTTGACATCTTCAGTCAGTCATAAGGATCCTTTAATTTCAGTTCATTCAGAAATAGAAACATTACACGCATACAGAGACAGCCAAAGGGCCCACAGGCCAAATCTGGCTGCTACTCATTTTTTTGTAAATAAAGGTTTATTGGGACACAGCCACACCCCCTCACTTATATGTTGTCCAGGCTGTAGTCGTGGAGAGCGGAGCAGTTGTGGCAGAGGCCACGTGGCCCACAAAGCCTAACATATTTGCTACCGAGCCCATACAGGCCAAGTGGGTTAGCTCACCCACTGTTCCCTGGAAGGTGTCTGAGCCACAGGCACACTGATACCCCTGGGAGGATGTGGGAACTGGCCCCCGTCCTGCACGTAGCTTCTCCTGACCCCCATGCACCCTGGTCAGACAGCAGTTACATGCAGGGCAGAGGTTCAAGGGTTTGCCAAGCTCTTGTTGAGCACGCTGTGGCCAGGCTTGAGGATGGTCTAGGGGCCCAGGGGACCCTTCACATTGGGTCTTCATGCCCCCTCCTCATGGTATTTCATTTCTTAGACCGTTCTCGGTTTCAAATGGACGGCCGTCTCCCTTCCTCCCTAGGTTTGAAAGCAGGCTATAGCCCTCTCCCCACTCTGTCCCACGCATGGTGCTTGGCCTGGGGGCGCTGGACAGTCGTTCCCAAATGAATGAGCGAGTGGGAGGGGTGGGTGGGTGGGTGGGTGAGTGAGTGAGGGAGCCAGAGAGAGGGGGCAGCGAACGAAGGAGCTGGTGCTGCTGGACATGGTGGCCAGCGTGGTCCCTGGGGCACTCAGGCAGCGCTGCCGAGTGTCTTCCTTTCGCCTTTTAGGAATTTTAGTTTCCCTTTGAAGATCACATTTTTTGCAAGTGGCTTTTTTTTAATGTTATGACTGTAAAATATAAATTTAGCATCAAATACATAACTGAGGAAAATAAATCTAGACCAAATAGGAATCAGGATTTCCATTTTGGAAGGTTAAGAACCCATAGCTAGAAAGCAGAGATTTTTGTAGCTTTTGACGAATTGCAAGTGATTTGATTAAAAGTTTGGGACTTTAGTAATGGTAGGAGAATGACGCTTCCCAGCTCTTTTTGTTTGAATTCTTATTTCTTCTGCTCTGCTCTTGGGCAGAGCTCCCCCTGCCTCCATCCTCCTCTCCCAGCTGTGGATTCTGTCTTTTCAAAATAGAGGCCCCTGGGCTGGTTTCCATTCCTTAGGCTAACTCCAGGCAGCCTTTCTTGCCTGTGAATAATTCACTTGGCCTCATCCTGAGTGATGAATGGGCCGCAGCAAGCAGCTCCCACAGCCCTGCCTCACAGATGCTTCATGTATACGTCCCATGCATGTGGAGAGCACCACACAGGGAGGCGCAGTGTCTTCAGTTTCATGAGCACTATGGGCATATAAGTCCATGGAGACTGTGTATCATTCTGTGTGTGTACACATATACATGTGTGTATATGTGTGTCTGCATGTGTATTTGCATGCATGTATGTGCATATGTGTATACGTGTGTACAAGAGTTTGCATTGCGCGCATGCATCTGTATGGGTATGTGTGCGTGCATGTGCATGTGCACGTGTATTTCCTAAGCATGTGAGCATGCACGTGTGTGTGTACTTGAGCTGCATGTGTTACCCCATGTTGAAGTCCCATGACACAACCCTCAGTGTCTCCACGCAGCAGTATTATGAGAAAGTCACTAATGCTGAGCCCTGGGCTGCGAGGGCGGTGTTCCAGGGAGAACAAACACTGCACACTGAACTCCTCAGAGGAAAACAAGTGACACAGTGGCCACGTGTGGGACCGGGGGAGTCAAGAGGAAACAAGTTTAAAATAATGGAGCTCGGAGTGTATGCACTTCTGCTCTTAGGCACAACGTGGAATATCTTCGTACAGTCAGTGGGGGAGGTGGGTCCCTTCACACCATGCACAGCTGTTGGCTTCTGAGTAGACTGATGTTAGATTAGGTAGTATTTTTGCTGAATGTAAGTTAGCATCATTCAAAAGTTCCTAAAATAAAAATCTTAGGTTTTTTAATTAAAGGAGGAAGGACACACTCTTGCAAAAGGCAGTCACTCTAAGTTCCTTTCAAAACACACAGTGTTGTGAAAACTGTAGCATCATCTTGCAAAACCTGACCAGCGGACTGACGCCAGAGCCAGGCCAGGCAGACCCACGGTGATGGTCTGTCTCGGTGCTGACCCTTTCAACTCATGTGGGAGAAGGAGTGTGCCTCAGTCCTCTCAGGCAGCCTTAACCAAGTACCACCAGCCTGGAGACTGAACAACAGACATTTATGGCTGGATTCTAGAAGTCAGAGGTCAGGGTGCTGGCACGGTCAGGTCCCTAGTGAGGGCCTTTTCCTGGCTGCAGATGCCACCTTCCGCTATGTCCTCACAGGACAGAGTTCTGATCTCTTTTCCTCTTCTTACAAGGACACTGCTCCTATCAGATTAGAGCCCCTCCCTATGACCACATTTAATCTCATTTCCAAATACATTCATACTGGGAATTAAGGCTTCAACATGGGAGTTTGCGGGACCTGATTCAGTAATGCATGTGGGGACTCTTCTCAGATCTGAGTCCATCTTCATGACAGCTCCTGGTGCCATATGTCCACTGAAGGCTGGAGCCTGGACTTGAACTTATTTTTAGCTTTTCTCTGCTCTCCTGGAAGCCTCCCCCAGCCCAGGGTCTCAGCTGGGGGTTGCCTCAGAGAAGCCCAGCAGCCCCCCAACATGCCCTGCACGCCTGCTGCCCAGAGACCGTCTCTGCCCCAGCCAGCCTGGCCCAGCGTTGAGCTCGGAGCTCCATGCAGCTCCAGGACGTGGCCCGAGACCCATCCTGTTCATCATCAGCTGTCAGTGCTTCACTCTCTAGGGTGGTCCCATCAACTCACAGGCCAGCTGTCCCCTCTCCCTTGGTCTGGGTGTTCCCTTTTATAGCAAAACCACTTGAAACATGCAGGTCAGTGGTCTCCAGGACCATGTGGATCTTAAAGACCCAGGTGGACTGGGCCCTTGCCCCACTCTTCGCATACCTGCATATTAAGGGGCCAACGCCAGGGTTCAGTATCAGGATGCTCCCTCCACCTGGACACACTGTCTCCTCAGTGTCCAGTCATCCCCTCACCACCGTGGCCCTTTCCCTTCTGTGGGCCCCGACTTGTCCTGCTGGCTACATCTACCTGCCCCCCACCTCGGCTGCAGTGAGTCCCCTGTGCTTTCCTGGTAAACTCATCTAGTCCAGGATGTCCATAACTCTCCACAGGCCCACAACTCCCAGGCTCCTTCCTCCATCCCAGACCCCTCCTCAGCCCACCTCAGAGCTTACCTGTGTGTAGGTGGTCTCCAACTCAACACACCCAAGCAGAGCTTCCGGGCTCCCATCTCCCCTCCTGCTCCAGCCACAGCTCCACCTCCATCAATGGGACGTCCTATTGTTCGTGGCCAGGCCAGGCCCAGGAGTTACCGGGATCCTCCCTCTTTCACACATCTCTTTCACACCGTCGGGAAATAGAGTGTCTTCCCTCCAGAATGCACTTGACCCTCCACTGGGTCCCACTGCCTCTGGCCTAAGTGCCAGCGTAGCCTGTCAACTGCTCCCCTGCTTCTCCATTTGAACACAGCAGTCAAGGCTCCTCTACAAATGGAAGTCAGAGCACAGCTCTCCCCTGACTCAGCCCTGCAGGAGCTCTGTGTCTGGGAACCCAAGTAAAACTCTTCTTCCTGTCAGCACCTGCAAGGCCCTCATGATCTACCATCCCTCCCACCTTCCTCCTCCTCCCTGCCTCCTGTCAGCCACATTCCTGTCCCTTCAGCACTCTAATGCAGTCCTGCCCCAGGACCCTTGCACAGGCTTTTCTCGCCCTTTGATATGCTTCACTCAGATATGCAGTGTTAGCTCATAACTGTACATCTGTGCTCAGTAGTTCCCTCTCTGCTGTTCCTGGCCCTCCTGACTTGGCTTTCTTTTTATTTTTACTCTTTCACAGACAATATCTCATTCTAATTTACTCCATAATTTGCTAATTTTTTTAAAACCATTTCCCACCCTAGAGAGTGAACTGCAGATGGTCGGGGGTTTCTGTGTGGGTTCCCTGATGTGCCCTCACGCCTGGCAAAGAGTGGGTGCTCAGAAGACATTGCATGAATGGAGGGAGTAGAGTAGTGAAGGAGAGTGGGAGGTAGAAGGCAAGTTGCCGCCCACCCTTCCAGGTCCCACTCTGCAGTTTCTTGTAGTTTGCTTGTAGTTTATTTCCTGTAGGTACCATGACCCCAAGGAAAGAGCTGTTACTTGGTCTGTTGAGGAAAGACCCCCAACTGCATGGTAGGAGACAGCTCAGTACATTTGTACACAGCCTCACACTGCAGCGCCACCTTGTGGTAGGTTAGAACACACTCCCATCAGGATCACGATCATGGTCCTGAATGTTCCTTTCTCACACCTGTCATTCTCCAAGTTGCGTGCACGTTACCTGACTTTGTGTTTAAATTTCACTTCCTTGTATTTTTTTTTCAGGGTTTTGACCTTTTGTTTCACCTCCTACAAAAGCAGTGAGCCCTGAATGTAGCCTCAGAATGCTCCACCTCATGGTCATGGCTGCTGCCGGGGCCGTGTTCGCGTCCTAGTGTGCATCACTCTGCTCCTGTCTGCTGCCCCCTTGGGCACCATCTACTATTTCCTGGGCTTGTCTCTGTTGGGTTTTTTCCCTAGTTTTTTTGTCCAAGATTTTCTGGAGTATCAAATTCTTTTCTTAGAAGGAGGACATACAAGAGGAACTGAGACGTGTTTTGTGTCTGCAAATGTCTTTGTTCTCCCTGCACAATTGGTGGATAGTTTAGCAATAAAATTAAAGGTTGCAAGTCTTATGTCCTCAGAACTTTGAAGATGTAGGTCTGCTGCCTGTACCACCTACAACGTTGATCCCAGAATAACCTGTTTGGTCCTCGCTGGGAGGTCTTATTTTTTTTGTCCTTGGTTATTTCAACAATTCTTGAAGGGAATTTCTAAGTATGAGATTTTTTTTTTAAAATTCATTCTGCTCAGCACCTTGACAGAACATGAAGATTTATATCTTTATTCAGCTCTGAGAAGCTCTTCTCTTCACACCTTATCGTCTGTCCTCCCCCTTCCCTCCTCTTTTCTGCATGTTCTGGGGGATTCCCTGCTCCTCATTTTCTGGGCTTTCTCATTCATTGCTCATTTCTGCAGTGAGACCATTGATTTCCAACCATGTTTTCATGCTCCCTGCACTTTTCAGAGGGCCTCGTTCGTGGCTTTCTGCAACAATACTGATGACAGTGTGGGTTTTAAGCCATCCCCACTTCCGATCCTGTACTGTGGCTTTCTTCGGCTCCTAGTCTGTCCCCTGTCACATGGCTGGTTCTGCCCATATCTCAGCTGCTAAGGTGTCCACCTGTGTGATGAGTGGATGGTAGAGCAGAAGGTGGAGGCTGCTGCCCTCATGTGGGTAGATCCGTGTCCCAATTCATGTTCCCCTGGAAAAGCCCAGGCACCTTGGGCCTGTCATCGCTGGCTGGGCCTCAGAGTGACCAGTGCTGGGCCCCAGCATCAAGCAGGGAGCAGGGCTGTGCCCTGAGGCCAGCATCCATGTGGCCTTTCTGCATTTTGAGTGTGGATAGAATTCCTCTAAGACCTTTGGAGACTCATCAGGTGAAACTCCTCCACCCCCATGTTTTTGTTGTGTGCTGGTGGGTGTATCTTTCATTGAAAGATTGAGATTTGATCCCCACTTTTTAAAAACAGCTCTCCTCTCCCTTCTGCCTCCGAACCTACCTTCCCAGGATGATTCTTGTTCCCACGGCAGCTTCCCCCATAGCCCTGTTTCTTCCTCCTCGCAGCCTTGTTTCTTCCTCCTTATGCGTCATTGGGCGTCTGTCAGCTTTCATGTCTGTACACGTTGTTACTGTGAACGATAATGTGCATTTAAAATGTGCAATTGGACAAGTAATTAAAAGTGTATGCCTGCACAAGCACACCAGCTCCAGCAGGAAAGCTTCGCGCTCGGTCCTGGCATCTCAGTGCGCGACCTCACAGTCACTGTTTATCATCCAAAGATAGTTCCAGTGGCTGCTCAGGGCCCCCTGCTCTTCTGGCGACTGGTGACCTCAATTCTGGAGTTTTTAAGTCTCTTGGGAGGTCAGTCCCATCAGGTTTGAGGCTCCAGTGTTTCTGCAATGATTTCACCCAGTTTGACCACCCAAGTAAACCAGCGGCCGAGTGAGATGTGGCTCTTTATGAAACTGACTCCTTCTCCCTGTCGACTGGCGTGTGTGCAGCCCTGGTGACTCACTTGCCAGGCCATTTTGCCTACATGTGGCTTTGGTGACATGTTGAATAGCGATCTCGGTCACTGTCAGAGGTTACCATGAAAGGGAATGTACAGATTTAAATGCCTAAATTCTCATATACTTAAAAAAAATAAATAGGAAACAAATTCAGTTCATCTAGGCTGATTTTTACTTTTTCTTCCAAGTTTACTGTTTATCCAATTACATCCAGAAAATGTTCATTTTAATAATATGACATCTGATTCCAGGAACCTCAGACAACCTGTGGGAGATAAGATCGGGGAGTTGGCACTTGCAGCTCTGCCGCTAAGCGTCAGCTGTGGGTCATATTTTAATATGTATATTAGGTGTTTAGATGTTTTATCATTTAAATGTACTTATATACTTAGAATGCTAATAAATCTCTTTCTAACATTTAAGGTATCAGTACCTATGCTTTTGGCCCCATGTGCTGTTCTGTTATATTCCTGGTCACGTGTTATCTTAAAGCTGCTGAGGGATGCAGCAGAGCTGGCCCTTCATTTTCTTGAATAAATGAATGAAGACGACATGCCACTTCACATTTACATAAAGAGAACAGTACCATTTCCCTTTTTTGAGGACATTTCAGTAACAGTTGCTGCAAGCATGCATTGGCCCTGGATGACTAAGCAAGGTCAGCACCGAGACCTCAGCGCTGGTCTCCGTGTGACCAGCTCCTTGTGATGGGTGGGCGCCTAACGAGGTGGGCAGGGCTGGGACCCACCGCTTGGCCACATTTGACTTGCACATTCTTTTGCAGGGTCGTGGACTTCCTGCTCAAGGCCATCATGCGTACCATGTGGTTCATCGGCGGCTTCCACCGGGTGGCAGTGAAGGGGCGGCAGGCCCTGCCCACCGAGGCGTCCATCCTCACCCTGGCGCCACACTCCTCCTACTTCGATGCCATCCCTGTCACCATGACCATGTCCTCCATCGTGATGAAGGCAGAGAGCAGGGACATCCCCATATGGGGAAGTGAGTGAAACCCCTCCCGACCCTCTGGAGTGAGGGAGCCCCGCACCTGCTGGTCGGTACAGGTCACTCCCACGTGAAATAGACACTGGGTCTCGCGTCCCTGTTTTTTTTTCCCCCTTTGTTATGATCTCTGTAATAGTAATTGTTGTGGTTTTTATTTTTTATTAGCACACTGCTGCCCTCAAATATTATTACGTGTTGAAGTACTCCTTCACGTTCTATCACAGAGGATTCTATCGAGAAGTCTGGAAACAGCTCAGTAGCTCCACCCTAGCGTTCTAGTTACTGTGCCATAAACCCAGGCATGTGAACGCCCTTGGACTGCATGACAGATTACCAGAACTGGTGGCTTAAAACAACAGAAATGTGTGCTCTGGAGACAGAAGGTCCTCACCAAGGTGTCTCAGGGCTGAGCTCCCTATGGGCCACTGGGGCGGAGATGGTCCTTCCTGCCTCTCCGAGCTCCTCGGGCTCCAGGCGCCCCCAGGCTTGTGGCCGAGTGCTCCAACCTCTGTCACCATTGTCCCATGGCCCCTCCCTGTGTCCGTGTCTCTGTGCCTCTTATAAAGACACTTAGCATTGAATAATCCAGGGTGCTCTCACCTTGAGATCCTCACCTAATTACATCTGCATAGACTTTTTTTTTAAAAAAAAAGTCACTGACAGGCTCTGAGGATTATGATGTAAACACATCTTTTGGGGGTCACTGCTGAGCACACTCACCATTATGGCGGGAACTGTAAATAATCCTGGGCACTCTGCGTGGTCCACTCACCTCACAGGCGAACACACCCCCATGCCCCGCCCGGCCAGCCTGTGCCCGGTTCCCAGCCGCGGGGTTCTTCTCCAACTGCCCCACCCCAGCCCTGCCTCTGCTCGCCTCCTCGCCTACCAGCTTCTCTGCCTTTTAAACCTCACTTGGGCCCTGGAGCAGGGCTGGTTGAGGCAGAGGCAGGCAATGCTGGGGCAAGGGCTGCGGGAACAGGGGCATCCACCAGCCCCGGGTCCCCACTTGATCCACCTCCTCTTGAGTTTCTACATGGCACCTAACGACATTAGTGTTCCTTTGACAATTACATTAGAGACTGCTGTGTAGGTTTTATTTTGCCTTTTTGATAAGACGAACATTTTGAGAAAAGGTCCGGTGTATGGCTGCTGTTGGCAAAACAGGTGCTACCAATGATGACTTGATTGAATGCGGATCAGGTGGCATCTATCCAGGCTATGGTCACGAAGGGCTACAACAGAGTGGCTCTTAAACAACAGACATTCATCTCTCACAGTTCTGCAGGCTGGACATTCAAGCTCAGGGTCTGGCCTGGTCTGGAGAGGACCATCCCGTGGGTCGCAGAAAGCAATCTCATCATCCCTCCCTTTGTTTTTCTCTGTTATTTTAACCATCAGGAATCCATGTCTTGTGGTGAGGCACGGATTCTCGCCCACCCCACCGTGCAGCCCTTGGGGCACGTGGGGGTCCCACCTCTCACCCCAGAGAGGAAGCAGTGCACCCCTCCATGATGCCTCCCGCTCTCTTTCAGCTCTGATAAAGTACATACGGCCAGTCTTCGTGTCCCGGTCAGACCAGGACTCCCGCAGGCGGACCGTGGAGGAGATCAAGAGACGGGCGCAGTCTAATGGCAAGTGGCCGCAGGTAATGCAACCCTGCTTACATTTGAGTAGATTTATTCCAAAAGATGCAAACTTAAAGACTAGGGGGAGAGGGGCGAAGAAACAAAAGGGCCAGAACGTGCCTTCCCTGGGTGCCGGGTGTGTTTAGTTTCCTTTTATTTTTGACGAGTGTACAAATCTAAGAATCTGCACAGGAACTTTTGGTTCTGGAATTTTAAAATTTAAAGAAATAAGGAGAACCCATTCAGATCTGCGTCGCGAGTTCCCCCAGTTATCTTTATTAACAACAAATCTTTTTATAAGTTCTGAGTCAGAAAGAGCTGCTAACCTGTTCTCCAGGGTCAGCATAATCTCGTGTCTGAATAGTGTGCTCATCTATAAGGTGTCCATTGCTTCTGGGCATCCCGGGCTGAGCTACTTGTCCTTCGCTGGTTCCCCACCCAGGCCGTGAGGCATTGGCCTTAGCTGGTGTTAGCTGTGAATGTGTTTTTTTCCATTGAGCCAACGTTGAGAAGCTGGAAATCCCACAGGACTCTGGGTTCTGGCTTCTCAGAAGCTCTGGGGGTCCTGGCTCTCAGCGCCTATGCCCGTGGGCAGCCCCTCGGAGCGGTTCCCTGGCTGCCGTCCCGACAAGTCCAGGCCATTCCGTTCCTCCTTCAGCTTCCGTGCCTGACCCTCGGGCATGCCTGGCTTGGACCCTGGCTAGCTCAGTGCCCCCTGGAGATGGCCTTCTCTTCAGGAGCCAGAATTGAAAGCACCCGCACAGGCTGTATTTTCCAGCAGTAGAGTCCACGTTACTTTACTGGAAGTCAGTACAGATCAGTGACTGGGAGTCCAGTGGGGAAGGTATTGCTTAACTGCGGATTTTGTTGGTGTCTCCACTTGCTGGGCTAGCACTTTCCCCAGGACCATCCTGAGTCCCAAGTCCTTTAGCCGACGGCTGTCATCTCTGTGCCCATGTCCTGCTCTGCCTGAGGGATGCCTGCTCCCCGCTAACATTTCACTCTGTGCAGCTGTATCTGGTCCTGTGGCAGCTGGGAGGCAGGGACCGCCCGCGCTTACCCATGTGCAAGTCCCTGGCCTGAGAAGGTGCTTGCTGTTGTCTGTCTGCGTTGCTTCCAGATTTTAATAAATCCCATAGTTAGAAAGGAAATTAGTGTAAGCTTCCATAATGCATTTCAACTTGTTCAACTGAAAAATGATTAAAATATCTAAATTATGTCAGCAGTAGTGAATTAAATTGTGAAAGTTGGCACCTGTGAACTCTGAATTATGGTACTTTATTGCTGAACTCTTTTTTTTTTTCTTATTTCAAGATAATGATTTTTCCTGAGGGAACTTGTACCAACAGGACCTGCCTAATTACCTTCAAACCTGGTATGTAGTTTTCTTAATTACTTTTTTTCTTTTTGAGAAAGTAGGGAAGACCCTCACCCCCACCAGTGCCTCTCAGTTGTCCCACCAAAATGCAGCCCAGCCCGCAGGCGCTCCCGCCTGCTTCGCCAGCAGGGCTGCGGCCCTGGGATCCTCCGAGTGTTTTCCACCCACGCAGACGTGGAAGGAGCCTTCCAGGCGCTGGATCGTGGCTGACCAGGAAGACCTGGCAGGAAGTCCTGTTTTATCCTGAGGCCAGCGTGAGACCTGCAGGCACAGGACCTGCTGCCATGGCAGTACGATGGTGTTACTTTATCCCTTTGGTCTGCAGGTGCCTTCATCCCAGGAGTTCCTGTCCAGCCTGTGGTTTTGCGGTACCCGAATCAGCTGGTGAGTCTCTTCTCCTGGGGATCTGTGTTAAGGTGAATGGCCTGGGAGTGAGAACTGTGAGGTGTTTGGACACACCAGATATCTAATCCACCCTGGTATTCCAGAATATTCCCCAACATTCATGCACAGAGTCCTGCCTTCATAGGTCAGGAAGCGGCGGTCCTCACGTGATCAGTCCTGACATTTTCATGTGAAACACCCCACCCCCATGTTGTCAGCAGCTCTCACTGCCCGGTTCCCATGCCAAGAAAATTTAAAAGTAAGAATATGTAAGTTCTGAAAGGCTGGAAGCAACAAGAGAAAAAAGATTTGGTTGACTTTGTGGTTTGTGTGCCTTTATCTTGCCTTTATTGGGTGTAGAGATTTTATTTGTTTAAGAGAATAAAAGGGGTGTTTGGGGCTCAGAGCTCTGGAACAATCTTGAGGGACCCGGGCTCAAGGGCAGAGCCTGCACAAGTCCTCAGAGCAGGTTCTGGCCGGGTCCCCACAGGCCTGTATGTCCACACCGGTGAGGCAGCCACGCTGTCCCTTCCTCTCAGGCGCCCTGTTGGGCATGCTTTCCGGCTGGCTGTGTCTCACCTCCGCTGTAACCCTGTCTGAGCTAAAAGGCTCTTGCAGCAGAGAGAGGTCCACACGCACTCGTGTCCTGGGCCGTCTGAGCGCTGGATGCACTGGGGTGGTTCCCCGTGGAGGACACATGAGGTGGATCTGCTCATAACACGGAGCTTCCTCCCCACCACATTGTGTCTTTATGACGGCAAAGGAAGAAACTCACAGATCAGGACACAGTGGGCTCTGGAGTCCCTGGTATAGATGGTGGTAGAATTACATGGGACATCTTATGGACATCTTATGGATGCCAGGCCCACCGGTTCCGAGGTTAGCACACTGGACCCCGTGCCTGCAGGTGTGGATGGGTGCAGTCGAGGCTCTGGGCGGCCAGTAAATAAATGGCAGTCAGAATTGTTTGCCACGCAAACTGACAGATAAAATTATTCTCACAGCACAGCTGAAACTGAAGAGGTACATTTATTCACCATTCTCTGAGAATCTGACATCGGTGTGTAGAATTCTAAATTTTCCCCTTTTTAAGTTTGTTCCATGAATGTATTTTAAGCAGAGTCCTTCCTGGGTTCTAGCAGCATTCCGCTCAGGTGTCACAGAAGCATAGCATCTGCTTGCCCTGTTTTGTAGACCCATGTCAGCTGCATAACAGCAGGAAGAGCCACATGGCTGGAAGGTTTGAGCACAGGCCTCTGCAGAGGGGCCTGCATGGGTGACAGGGAGCCCGGTGCCATGGGTGTTCTGGAGCCTCTGAGAGAGAGTGCAGGGGGTGTCAGGACTGGAAGGAAAAAGCTCACATGGGTGACCAGGGTCAGGGCAGAAACAGGCACATGTTATCCGGTGTCCCCACCTAGATGGCTGCTGCGGCTGCGGATGGAGAGGGTCCGAAATGCCGCGATGGGGCCCTGGGCTGGCGTGGGGGTGCAGGTGGGTGTCGGGATGGAGTTTGGCTGCGTGATGGCCACGGGCAGGCCGGTGGCGCGGGCCCTGTCGACCAGGCCTGCATGAGCAAGTCTGAGAGAGCAGATGGACAGCGTGGCCTGCTTGTTGCAGATTGAAGTTGCCAGGGATACCTTGAGAGGGGAAGGGCAGGAAAGGGGAGCTGGGGCTGGGTCTTAGGTGGAGCGACCTTGGACCTGTGGGAAGAGAGAGGAGCATCTGGGGACCTAGAGGTGGTGAGTCCCCGCCTTCTCCTTTGCCCCAGAGTGGACTTAGAAGATGGGGATACCAGCATCCCTGGGGTCAGCGGAAAGCTAGGATGAGGACAGGGGTGAGGGCGGGCGCATCTGAGGAGGGGGGAGCCCATGTGGCATCCACAGGAATCCTGGTGCCTGACACCTAGTCATGTTTCACGCACTCATTTCTTGCCCCCAGGACACCATCACGTGGACATGGCAAGGCCCCGGAGCGTAAGTCAGATACTGTGCTGTCTTGTTTGTCCTATTCTGCTGGGAAAGTGCTCCAGTTACTTTAGCAAATGTGAAACCTGAATACGTGACTCGCTGCTGTTTCATAGCAGTTAGGTTCAGCCCATTGTGAAAACTAAATGTAAGAATCAGGCCGTCCTCACACCCTGCATTCCAGGACTTAAATTAAGTGCCTTCAGCTGCATTAAGAAAATAATCGTGGGAACTCTTCTCGTCCTGCCCTGTGCCTGTCAGCTGGGCGATGACCATCCTGTCCCTGGAAAAGACAGCAGGGCCTCCAGGGGCTGCCCGCCTCTTGCTCAGCAGCAGGGCGAAGGGCGCAGGGGCTCCAGGCACACTGGGCCTTCAGGGGGCCGCTGTTTGAGCTGGTGTTTGGGAACGGAAGGCTGGGTGCTGAGGCCAGGCAAGAGCCCTCCCTGGGCCCCCAGGCCTTGCCGAGATGTTTAGAGTGGGACACAGGGGAGGTACCATGAGGATGGCATGTCTGAATGGTGGTCGTTGCGTTTCTGAGTCTGGAGTGTGGAGGGTGGATGGTGAGAAGCGAAGTACAAGCTGGGAGAAGGGTTGAGAAGGGGCTCCTCTGGGGTCCTGGTGGACTGGGCTTGGAGCTATTGGTGATAAGGCAGAAGTGGGGTGCGTAAGAGTTCAGAGGGGGACTGTGTATCAAGGAGATAGTGAGCGAAGACCCAGGGATTCTGGATGGCTCCCCATTTCCCACTCCTGCAAATAAAAATGTGGTAGTGCCAGTTCTGAGGTCAGGAACTCTGAGAACCAGGCTTGGGGATGGCATGAGTTAGGGCCTATCCAGTCTGCCCTGCCAGGGGATCACTGGGGCGAAGACAGGTGAACGAGATTCCTGAGCAGGAAGACAAACTGAGGAAATAGTGGCTTGCAGTGCAAACTAAATTTGCAGAGATATAGGTGTACTTAATAAGAACAGGGGAGACTGCTATTTAATAAAAGTAGCCTTGTCTCTCAAACCTTGTGTTTCAAGGTTTGGATTGAGACTGAGAAAGGCTCAGCACCCATCTCCTGAAGGAGAATTAACTGCCCATTACTGCCCCCTGCAGGGCAAGGAGTCCGGAGTTTTGCTCCAGAATTGGAAGTAGTTTAACTAAATGGAATTTTTTTTAACCAATGCTATAAATCTATTACTTTTTAAGGTTGGAAATCCTGTGGCTCACCCTGTGTCAATTTCACAACCAAATTGAAATTGAGGTTTGTATAGATATGATGTTATACAATGTTATGTTGGCTTATTAGATACATTGTGTCTTTTATAAATTTAGTGTTATATTAGTGTCTGAACAAACATAATGCTATACAAATGATATGTTGTCTGTATGGATGCAATGTTGTGTAGGTGTCTATATAGATACAGTGTTATACTGTGTTATGTTGGGGCCTATATAGATGTTACATTGATATCTGTATAGATCCAGTGTTATATCATCTGTTTCTTTGAACTCTTCTCATTCCTCACGACTCCTTAGAGGTGCTCTCCGCTAGTTTTCCGTCAATCAGTTTGTGTCTCTTCTGTGATTTTGAATACATTCAGATTCAATTTTTTTAAATCAATAAGGAAGCTAAACCCATCATTCTTTATTATGGTTAGCACAGCTTAGGAGAATGTAAAATTGACATACATGCAATGAATAATTTTTTAATTTTTGCCTGATACTAATACTGCTGAACTCACACTGTTAAATTTGTCATTTGTCATACTGGCATCCTCTCTTTGATGCTTGGTCAGATCATGCAGCTTGCCTTTCAGTTTGCATCCCACTGGATACCTCAGACAAAGTCACAACAACCATTCTCTCAGCTGATTAAATACACTTATATTTTGTTCAGCTTGTGAGTTTTATCTGCGTAAATGAGAAATAGAGTTTATTTTCTTAAAAAGGGAATTAACAGGCTACTCCTGTACCTGAAAAGTAAAGATGAGTTATCGGCAACTTAAATGTTTAATGAAACAGTTTACTACCTTCTGATAAATTTTGTGCAGCAGTAACGACAACAGATGAGCCAGCTTTCTGCCAGGTTTTTCACTTCAGTAGAATGTAAGCCACTTAATACTCAGGACTGAGCCGGAAGGGCCTTGGCCCAAGTCCAAGTGTAGCAGGGCCTCTGCTTAGGATATTTTATGTGGCTCATGTACTGGTGGAAACAGCTCTATTTCAGACCTGCTTCTAATTGTAAGCATTGGAAAGAAGCTATGTGGCTCATGAAATCCCTCTAAATGTATTTCCTGGTGTTACTCCTCCGGGATGCAGATGCTAATGTGAGGAACTATTGCAATTTACGTGGTTCTTTTAAATGTAGCTATAAGTGAAATGTTAGGGTTACATGAGAATTAATAGGATTTCAGGATGTTCCTATATTCTTAAGTATTTGTATTAAATAAAAAGGGCTCAGTGATAGTTGTTTGCCTTTTCAGCATGGTAGGACTTATTTAAAATGTAAGTGTTGCTCACTCAAAGACACATGTTCATGGGACAACTTACTGTAATCTCAAAATGCAGTAGCTGTCAAAAAGCTAATCATTGTCTTTTAGGTAGAAATAGTTTGTTATGTTATCCTCAGCACAAAACAGAACTTCAGAAATGAAAACACACAAACACATAATTCTTGTGCATCTAAAGGTGCACCCCTGTGTGAAATTACAAATACAGCACACTGGCCACAGCTTCAGTGTTGGGAGAGTGGACACTCCTTGTGAGCAATGGCAAGTTTTCCACACACATGTGCATCTATGTGTGCACATATGACCATGTCAAAGATGATTCTGATGGGAAATGCTTGATTTTGTCAGTTTCATGATTGTCACTTAAATTGGCGTTGGTAAGGTAGGTGTCTTGTGATACTGTGGAAGTAACGCAGCCTTCTCTGCGGGCCCAGTTCCTTCCAGTGTACAACCCTTCGGAGGAGGAGAAGAAGGACCCCGCCCTGTACGCCAGCAACGTGCGGCGCGTCATGGCCGAGTGAGTGTGCCTTCTCCTCCTCCCGGCCCCCCGATCCCCTTGACACCCCTGAGTATTACTCAGGACTCCCATTTACCTGCTGTTTTCCTCCTTAACATTGCTAAAAACAAGAAGCCAATAGCATTAGGAAAACAGGTTCTTGCAAAAGCTGGTGAACAAGCATGGACTATGCCTTTTGGGCATATGCTTTATGTCTCCTGTTTTTGTCAGATGATATTTCTGCTTGTTCAGCATTTGGAAGACGCTTAATTATCACTTAATTGCACAAATGGCGAACGTGCCCGTAGCCATCAGCCCCCTCCCCGGGCTCCGCATGTGCGGGTGCCCCAGCAGTGACCAGCCGCAGAGCCCTCGGTGAGGGCGCTGGTCCGTGCAGGCTTCAGGGTCTGGGCTGGAGCGTCTGCGAAGCCTCACTGTCCACCTGTGCCTACAGCGTTTACTAATGTTCCTGCTCCATCTCACCAAGTTTGGTATGGTAGCTGGATACCTAACCTTGTAAGGAAACTCGTCCCACTTGTACGGCACCCATGCCACCTCCGGCTTCCTGCTGACCCGGCTCGTTCCAGGTAGTGCTAGTGTCAGCTCACACCCCTCCCCCTCTAACCACCTTTGTCCCTCCTGCCCCATCCTCCCCCTCTCTTCTTTCCTATTCCAGGGCAGCAGGGGCTGCCTCTGACTTTGCCTCCTTCGGTGCCTGGGGGCGGCTCAGCAGCTCAGTGGCTCTGACAGTGAGTGTCACTTGTGTGGGGGTCCGTGCAGCTGCATGGGAGTGTTAACAGTTGCTCTGGCTGACCTGTGTGACTTAGCCTTATGAAATAAAACATCTCAGTGTCCACATTGCGCCTCCACCTTAATGTGTCCCGTGAGACTATGTTGGGCAAAATCATGCACCTCACCTCAACCTATATGAATTAAAACTCAGCAGAGTGTTCAGTCTTTGTCCACAGGCTCCTCAGATAGCCAAGCGCTGGGGACAGAGTACAGTGGAACACTCCCGCTCTGGCCTTGGGCACCCACCCTCTGAAACCCCTTCTCTGTCTCTCTCTGAATCACCCGCCAACCACCAGGATGCACTTGACTCTCAACTTTTGGAAAGTCAGCACATGCAGAGGCACCCTTGTTCAACCTCTTGATTAAAAAAAAAAAAAAAAAAAATCCATCTATGGAATTGCAGGCTCAACAGGTTAGGTATAAATAGTCTTAGTATACATTGAAATAAATTAACTATTAACAATTTTAAAGATATGTATCCTAAAAAAAACTGTCCGTGTTAATAGAGGGGAATTGTGATATATTCAATGGAAAAGAATAGAAAACCCATAGGGCACCCTCTTGTCATAGCGTCTGCAGAATTTCAATGTGTTGTCACCTCCCTCATCTTTAATCTCACCTCCGAATGCACCTGGGCAGGGCCAGGATCCCCCAGGGCTCTGTGGGCGGCCCCTGAGCTGGCCTCGTCCCGCCTTCCTGTGGAATAGGATTCTGGCTTCTGTCCCCAAAGGGTTATACCTGAGTTTGTCAAGGAGAACGGCAGTCACTGTTTCTCTCTCACCTCACAGCACACTATTTCCGTGGCAATAGGAACTTTTGTTGTAATGATTGAAACTCATTGAGTTATTAGGGTGGGGAGCTGTTTAGTTTTCTATACTGGGTAAATTTCCTGCCTGGAATGTTTTCTTTAGTAGTGGAGAAAGGGCTTTTTCCTGGACTCTGACACGGTTCTGAGAATGGCTGAGTTCTCACTTTCTCCCCAACTCCAGGGCGGTGCCAGCCCTGATAAAAGCCATCCCTGCTGACCTGTAAAGAGCTGAGCCTCTCCAGTGAACACCCCCGTGGGGCGTTGTTATCATTAAGACCCAAGTGCACGCTAGTTTTCTAGTGGGGTGCAAACCAAGATAATTCTGAGCTAACAGCAAAGCTTGGGACAGACCCAGGTTCCAAGGTAATTGAAATTTGGGGTCAGCGGTTAGGCTCTTGTGTTCAGCGCTAAACACGGGCTTTCCACATCGCCTTTCGGTGCATCTCGGTATTCTGAGCCCTCCCGTCATGTACCGGTCACCGTGTGGTGAGGGGGCTGTGGGGGCTCAGAGCAGGATGTGGGATGCACACGCCGGCATCGCCTTTGCCAGGATTTCTGCCATCAGAGTTGACTCAGGAGAGACCACAAGGAAGCTCCTGTGAAGCAGAGTGGCTGCCGTGCGGGGCACTCACGGTAGGTCCCTCCTCTCTGCCATAGGGCCCTGGGCGTCTCCGTAACCGACTACACCTTCGAGGACTGCCAGCTGGCCCTGGCGGAAGGACAGCTTCGTCTCCCTGCAGACACCTGTCTTCTAGAATTCGCCAGGCTGGTGAGGGGACTGGGGTGAGTGCCTTGTTTTTTGGTGTTTTTTTCCACTCTTAAACAATTAGACTGGACACTCCCTTGAAATTTGTGACAAGCGTCGGGGCTCCAGTGGGACAAGGCAGGTGCGATGTATTCGGCAACATTAAAACAAAAGCTTTGTGCTGGATTGGGAACTTCTGGCAGAACCTTGCAGGGGCCTCCACCCTGCAGGTGCTGGTGCCCGAGCTGGAGGTCACAGTGGCACCCAAGGGCTGCGTGACGTCCCCCTCTCAAGACAAAGAATCAAGGAGAGAGCTGGAGTGCCTATTCTAGTGGTTTGGTTATTTTTTTTTTCCTTCAATCCACACAGAAGTAAGTGTCTTAAAATCCCTAATGGTGGGTGCCAGCTCTCTCTGGAGCCGCGCCAGGAGGCCATCCTGGTACACAGACTGCCCCGCCGGGGGTGTGAGTACTCAGGCAGGCGCTTAGACAGAATTCATTGCATGCCTTCAAGTTACTAGAAACCTCTTGAAAACTAGCTGCTCAGTCTAAAATATTTTGATATTTTGGTGGGTATTAAAACAATAAACTTCCTGTTTGGGGCACTCTGTGATTTTTATTGAAATAAACCTTTCTCTCTTTTTCTGTTTAGCCTAAAACCAGAAAAGCTTGAAAAAGACCTGGATAGATACGCAGAAAGTGCTCAGATGAAGAGGGGCGGGAAGATCAATGTCTCAGAGTTTGCAGCATACCTGGAAGTCCCTGTCTCAGACATGCTGGCTGACATGTTTTCCCTGTTTGATGAGGTAGCACTGTCACCTGGTGGCGGGGGGTGGTGGCAAAACCTTCAACTGCTCAAAGTGTAAATTGTTTTCCTTGTAATATAAACATTGTCTAGACAATTTTGGAAGTAGAGAAAGGAAAGTCACTCTTAAATGGCCCCATCCTACAGCCCACCCTGTCTTCTGTAGTATTTTCTCCCCTGTTCTTAAATGCACAAAAAAAATGATATTTACCTCAGTGTTTGCTGATAAACATGCCTGTAGTTTGGGTTTCCTTAGATCACACGGCAGTGCTGGCCTGTGGTCCCTGCCATGTCCCTTTCCCAGAGGCCTCCGCTGACCTGGCTCAGCCAGACCTTCAGAATTTCTAAACAGTGGCCTCTTTCCAGATGATTGGCTTAGAGGTTCCCCATCAGCCTTCTGTCTGGGGGGGGCGGGGGGGGGTGCGTCTCTCCCCGGCACAGCACCTCTTCCCTCTCCACCAAGCACATTGTAATCAGGTCATACGTGCTGGCTGAACATGGAGCCCACACATCGCTGCACCTTGGTGGGAGACCAAGAAGCAGGAGGGCAGGCAGCCATGACTAACCGCACGCCAGCCACGCCTGCTTGTTCCTGGACATTGTGTCACAGGGTAGACGCCTGTGCTGTGCGTCCTGTAGGAGCCAGTTATGCAGTGTGCGAAGGGGCTACTTCAGCCATGATTGTTCCATGTGAACAGTGTAGCATGTTGCATGTGAATGTGTGTTCTGTGTGAACACATAGAATTTCATGTGTGCCTAATATAGCATGTTCTGTGTGGATAACACAGCATGTTCCGTGTGGCAGTGCTGCATGTTCTTATAGCCACAGGCACAGCGTAGTCTGGCGTGGCAGAACCAGGAGAGTTAGGTGGGTGATTTGGGCACCAGAGACCCTCGCGAGTTTGCAGGTTATGCAGCACCAGGGTGTGCCATTGAGCAGGTGGGCCCAGCTGGGAGTCTCCCTGATGTTAAGACAGCTTTACACAAGTTGAGGAAGTGGATTTCTGTTACTGTCAGGGCCACGGCTGTGGCTCCATTTCATTTCGGCACTTTGACAACGTGTCAGGTTTGAAATAGGAGTGTGAGCGTGGTTTCAGTCGGCGATGTCTGAGGATGAGTTATTAGTGAACCTTCGTCAAGCACCAGGCATGTAACTACAGTGAGAGGGTTGTTCGTTTTTATTTTTGAGTAGTTCAAGAGCACAATGGTCTTACAAGTTTGGAATATTCTCCTTTTCACAGAGAGCCTCAGGCCAGAGGCTAAACACCTTCTCAGAGCCAGGAGCACATAGGCTTGGGACCTGGTGTAAACTTGGGACCTGCAGCTGGCCTTGTGCCACATGTCCACATCCAGCTTGGGACTCACCTTTTTCTTGCATGCCCACTGTGTGGCTATCGGCAGAGCCTGAATGTGAACCTTGCTGTTGGCAAGTCTATTTTTCTAAAAGGGGAAAAAAAGCCTTCGCAGGCAACAATCATGCCTCATGTACTGGAAATTAATTGTAACAGCCTAAAAAAGTGGAGTGACCTTGGAGAAACCAGTGGTTATGAGCATTCTTCCAAATGCTCTTTTCATGTAGACAAATGATCTCAAACTTTTGCAGAGCTAAACTTTAGTTAACCCCCCAGCGGCCACTGGTGAACCCCAGCTCTCCCATGGGCGGTGGCTGAGCTGCCCCTGAGGGCGTCTCTCTTTCACAGAGTGGAGGTGGTGAGATGGACCCGCGGGAGTATGTGGTCGCCTTGTCTGTTGTCTGCCGGCCGGCCCAGCCCCTGGACACCATGCAGCTGGCATTCAAGGCAAGTACGGGGTTCACAGGAGTTTCATTTATAGGGACAGTGAGACATGGGTTGCATCGGATCTGCGATGCATCTTTATAGTCCTCTAGGTAACAAGCTGGTTCTGACCATGCCGCCCGGTGGAATCAGAGCCTAATGAAGAGCTGGAACACTTGGGGGAGGGGAGAAGGGCCTCTCTGGACAAGCAGCTGGGGCTGGCAGGGCCTGAGGACGGAGGAGGGGGACCTCAGGGTAACTCTGGGCTTGCCTTGCAGATGTACGGGTCTCAGGAAGACTGCAGCATAGACGAGGACGCCCTATCCAGCATCCTCAAGACGGCCCTAGGGGTGGCGGAACTCACTGTGACTGACCTCTTTCGGGCAATCGACCAGGAGGAGAAAGGGAGGATCACTTTTGGTGAGAGGCCCTGGGAGCAGGGAGGATGGCCCACTTGTGAGTTGGGGACACACCTGGAGCCCCTGTCCACCTGTGCTGGCCAGGCATCCCCTGTGTCCCACAACATGGAAATCCTCAGGAGGGAGGTCCTTCCTGAAACCTGGCCCAGATGGGTGGGAGCTTTCAAATCTGATTTCTCCAGGCGATTAAAAGAACCAGACTCCAAGTTTGGCTATAGAGCTCAGACCCAGGACAGATGCCATCCTGGGGACTGCGGGCGTGTGTGCCAGGCTGGGGCACAGCACCCACAATCAGGGTCCCACTGCAGGAGTGAGTCCATCTGCTTGTGAGAACTGATTGTTGGGCAGCTCCTCTCTGGGAAGGTTTGGCTTCATTATCTGTGGCTACACAAAGCAGGATGGCCCAGATCCTCAGGAACCCTCCTGTGGACTGAGGAGGGGGGCGGGGCAACAGGATCTTGGAAGGCAGCCTGCTCCGCACACCAGCCAGCATGCACATTTCAAAATGAGCATGTGTTCTTGCTAAAAAAACAGGCAGACATTTGCTCAGGAAAGGTCAGCGTACACGTCTTGTTTGGACATGTTTTAAAATTGCATCCAAATGTCAGACACGGCTGTGGGGTGAGGGGTTTGTTTGCGGGGGGTGTGTGTGTGTGTGTGTGTGCGCGCGCGCGCACAGTCATGCCTCTCTGTTAAAGAAGGCCGTGCTTCCTGATGGGTTTAGGGGTTGTTGATGAGGTTTGTAGTGAGCCTGACCAACTGCAGGCTTTTCTAATAAAAGCCAGTCCGAGTTTCCCACAAGGAGACAACATTTGTGTCCCTGGAGCCTGCAGGCTCCTGCACCCAGGCCTCTGAGCATCACCCGCTCTCAGGGTCCCTGAATGCAAGCCTAAGGGCACTCTCCCCCCCCAGACCGGGCCCTGGACCACTAGGAGATGCACAGGCACGAAGCCACTCAGGCCCCGTGACTGGCTCGGAGGGTGACCTCCGTGCATGCCTGGTCTCCCCCGTGCTCAGACATGTCCATCAATAGCACCTGCCTCATGGAGTATTAGTCACCACTCGCTGTCCTGTCCCTGAACCAGCTCCTGTGATGAGCAGCGCCCCCTCACAGGCACTGAGGGCCCAGAGTACCCACTGAGTTCAGGATCGTGCAATTTTCTTAGATTTCCCCAAAACAGGAGCAGCTGAGAGGGCACAGCAGCTGCCCATTTGCTTTTCCTGTGATTTTGTGCACAGTGGAGATAAATGGAGTGCAGGTTCCTGTCCTCACTCCAAGACCATCAATAGAGACCCCAGCCCTGCCAGAGGGAGTAGCGGGCATGCCCATAGGCCCAGAAAGAGCTCCAGACTCTAGATGTCTGCCCCCAGTGCCCCAGTAACTATGGTGTCCCTGTCTTTCCAGCCGACTTCAACAGGTTTGCAGAAATGTACCCAGACTTTGCAGAGGAGTATCTGTACCCCGACCAGCCGCCTTTTGAGAGCTGTGCACAGACACCCCCAGCTCCTACCCCCAATGGCTTCTGTGCTGACTTCAGCCCTGAGAACTTGGATGCTGGGAAGAAGCGTGTGCATAAGAAACTGGACTAGGACACAAGGTGCTGAGGAGACGAGGCTGCTCCCTGGCGGTCGCTACCCCACCTCCACGTGGCCGCAAGCCCATCTGCTGTGACCACCTCCGGGTTCCACTCTCCACATAGGCTACATGTTCACCGTCCCAAGGCCCCGTTCCAGAGGCTGGGGTTGTTTTCACTCTGCTTCTCTGTGAAGCACCAGCCTGTGGGGCGCCTGTGGGCACCTGGAAGGAAAACCTCATGCTCACAGCTCCTGGCCTTCTCCCAGCGAGACTGCGTGGGGCATGCCCTGTTCATGGTGGCCTGGCTCTGGGAGTCTCCCTGCCAGGCAGGTCCTCGGGGGGCTGGGTGGAAACCTGGCGTGGCTTGTCTTCACCCGAGGCCTCCTAGTTTCGGATTTCCATCTCACTCTTTTCACACTGCCCCTTCGGTCAGCTGGAGGCAGCGCACAGGCGGGCGGCCTCCGCGCACACTTGAAAAGTGGGGCATGTGGCACGTGTTTCAGTCCCAGCACAAACCCTCCGCCGACCTCTGGAGTCACAGTGTGGCCGACCCGCCATCTGGTTTTTAAACATTTCTATATTTGTGGGAGTTCATGAGTATTTTATAAACTTCATTTAGATACTTCAGGAAACACTCAGCATTTTTTTAAAGAAAAAAAGAAAATTGTTTTTCTACTTCATTTTCCTTTGAGGGTCAGAGGATATTTATTTATAGGCCTTTTTTTGATAGAATCTGAGGCTGTTTGTGTCTTTGACTTCACTTTCTCTCTGGCCTCCCTCTACCAGGTCAGTTTCTCTCCTGTTTGGGCCACCACAAGCACCAGCCCAGAACTGCGATTTCCGATCCTTCATCCTTTTTAATCCCCCTCTTTTTTTATAAACATTACCAGCTTGGTATTTCTGTTTTAATATGACGCCGTCTACTTCATTGTAGAGTCCACTCCAGTGGAAGCATTGAATGTGGGTGGCGTGAGTTAGATGGGACGGAAGGACTGGTCCCGGCTCACTTGTTGTGCGCCTCAAGCAGACCGCAGCCCCGGGGCCGCCGAGCCGGTCCTGCTCGGGGGGTGTCCATCCGTCTCCCCTTTGCTCCGGCTCCATGGTGAATAGGATAAAGGAGCCGCCCCTGAAGACAAACGAGCTATGTGGATGGAAAGAGTGTGGAGAGTAGCAGGAGCAGGCGACAGCCTCATGCGGACGTCCCTCCTGTCATGGTGACAAGGCTGGCATCGGTTCTGACAGAGAGGAACTCAGGCCCCCTCCCTGAGTCAGGTGAGGAGCAGTGCTTCCTGGCACAGGAAGGGGGACATGACGGTGTTGCCTTTGCTTTTCCTGAAATCACCTTGGTTCATTTCCTTAGGACCTGATTGCAACCTGCCCTTAAAGCACAATCGTAACCACAGACTCCAATTTGTGCCCTGAAGCAAAGCCTCTGGGTTCCTTTGGGGAAAATCATTTTTTGTTTTAATTTCTAAAATGAATGTTATATTAGGGGCTTGAAAGTGACCACCAGGGCCAGAAGCACAGGGAAAATGTTTACTAATCTCGAGGCATGACAAGCATTTCTACTGCTACACGTCAGGACACCCCTTGACTCCAGTTCAGTTGTCACCTCCACCTTGTTCCAGCTGCTCACTGCCAGCCAGGATGCAAACAGGGACAGGGTAAACTGAGGCCCATTCCAGGGCGCTCGGCTTGTCAGACACAACAGAAACTCAGATGCAGCCTTGGTAGCGAATGGTAATTGACTTTATAATCGTAAAATGCATAAAGGTTCATTTTTACCTGAGAAAAACCTACCAATGACCAATGAAGGAGGTGAATAAACTAAGATATTCTGAGGGAAGGGGCCCGAACATGTGGCCTCCATCCTTCCTGTCTGTGGATGAAGGGTTTTTTGAATGAAATGCCGCTGTGCATTTTCAGGAAAAAAATCCCTGATAAGCAGACTTCGAATGGATGTTTGCTCCTCCTGATCCACTTTCTCTGTCCTAGTGACTAAATGGCATTCAGAACTGTGAGTGTATATAGTGTCAGAACCTAATCCCTTCCATGTGAGACGGGGACGGACGGGCAAGGGCAGCCCTGGCCCTGCTGGGGCAGATGCCATGTAAAGAACTGCGGGTTTTCAATGGAATGAATAAAAGATAAAGTCCTACGTACTTGAAGCCGCTCTTTGTCACGTGTGTTCTTTTAATGAGACAACTCAAACATTCCTTAGGCTGTGACTGGAGAACCAGTCAAGGTGTGATTTCTAGCATGTTTGGGAAACAAAAATGAAAATCGTGTAGAAGCAGCGAAGGGAAGGTCCGGAGTGTTTCAATATCTTACGGACGGGCTGACATTTCACAGAACTCAGACTTGCGTGGCTGCCTCCCTGGTGAATTGATTTTAATAATTTCTCTACATTAAGCACACACACCTTAAATACACTTTGCAGTCCCATTAAATCAATAAAGGATTTAGGAATAGAAGTAAAACAAATAGACCGGTTGTATTACAATCCCGAATACCGCGCATGAACACATCGAGGTCATGTGGCCACCCGCTTCAGAACTCGGGTAACCCTTAGGGACGCGGTGTGTTCACAGAAATGTCGGGAGCCACTGGCACGAGTGGCAGAGGAGGACACGCACCACAGTGTCATCATTCGTCCAGCAGTCATTTTTATTCGTTGTGTTTGTGGGCCCTTTTTAACATAATGTGCAGTGTCCTTTTGGTTAATTTTTTTTTTTTTTTTAAGTAAAGAAAAGGAATAAATCAAAGACAGGATCTGGACGTTTCACATCCAAAGAGGGACTCACATTTCTCGTCAAAGTCACCGCAGCCATGGAACAGAGGGCTGCAGGTGGAGGTGAGGGTGTGTGCCTGTGTGGATCTGCCTCCTGTGGGCGTGTTCACCCCCCTGCATTCTGATTGGAACAGGCTCCTGCTGGAGGCTCCATCACAATCCAGAAAAGAAGAAAGTCTACCTTCTCCTCTGCCACCCTGCCAGTCTTGGCTTCCGCTGTCCCTGTCCCTCCCCCGCATCTGCTGACCCAACCGGGAGCCACTTCTAGGATAGTGTCAGACCCCAGTTTCCGGCTCATGGGAATGGGTACTGGGAGCCAGGAGACTGACGAGTGGCCAGCACTGCCCACCCCACAGCGGCGCCACGTCCATTCTCACTTTCCCTAATGGGAGTACGTGAGGTATACCCATTATGTCACCTTAAGACATGCTACGATGATCATGCCTCCAAACATGCTTTTGCCTTCTCCCCAAAATGTGGCCTCCCAAGACCCTTCTCGTCGTCCAGGATATGTTAATTCTAGCATAGTCACGCGCCTGCCTGGATATGTCTGAACATGAGAACTAAGTTACAAAGTTCATCATTCAACCCTGAAAAAATAAAGGTTCATCATTTCTCACCATTCATCTTCCCTCTCTAAAATAGTAGTGGACACCGAGAAGTGAAGTGGTTAAACTAATGTGCATGCTGGCTCTTACATGTGTGCACACACCGGGCCAGGAAGACAGTCTGCGTGGTCACCATTTCTATAGCCAGTTAAGAGGTTGCAGCAGTTGTACTTAAATCTTCTACCCAACCCCACCCCCTAGTCCACGGCCCAGGTTTGCTTGGGTTCAACCAGTTCCTTTGAAGGTTAGAATTCTTTACCTGTGAAGAGATTCAAATTTTTATTAAAAAGTATCTGTCTTGCACTTATTAGTCACAGTATGAGCTGTGAAAGTACAAACAGGAGCCCAGTGGTGCAGTAACCACACCCCACTTCCTATCAGTGTTTGGGACATTCTGCTGACCTATTGGTTCAGTCACAGGAGTAGCCCCACATGTCCTACTGGCTCAGTCTCAGGAGTAGCCCCACAGAGCTGGTGACCCCCTGAACTTCAAGTGTGATGGGTTCATTGTGTTTCCAAGTAGGAGCATCCATCCTTGGAAATAAAACCCTTTTAGGCAGAAGAACCCAAAGCTGCCAAGAAGAGGCAGAAACATGAACAGGCTAGCCCGTCAGCGTGGCTTGTGTGCTGTGGTCATGGGCTCGGGATTCAGGGTCAGAAAGAACATTACTCCTCTCACCTTTTCTCAGGTCACTTGCAGCTCTGCCCCGCATCTTCACTGTGTCCCAGACTGACAGCACTGCCCCTCTCCTGGCACTCTGCCAGGGAAACAATGCAGGGAACCCAACATAGGGAACAGAAGTGGCAAACCACACACTGGGTGTTGAGTCTTCTACATCCCAAGTGAATCACATGGCTGCACTATAACTCGAGCAGGAAATGTGCTCCTGTAGAGGTGAGCACTGGGAAGGGTTATGTGAACACAAAATGCAACACAAGCCACCTTCCATTCTGTCAGGCTGGCTGCTTCTGGGTAGGGGGGAACTTAGGAGGAGTTGGGAGTTTAAATGTGTTCCTGCTGCCATGTTTCCTTTGCAATGAAGTGAATTCCTTAGCAATTTAATATGAGGTGGGTGATGGTGAGTCAGCCATTCACTTAGCCCACAGGTGCAATACCAAGGGCAGAAAAGGTAAATCCATCTCAGGATAAAAGCATTAAAACGAAGACACGTCCTCTTGACAATGGAGGGTTCAGTGAAATCAACAGGATGCCCAGGAAATGGTACCAGTCAATGATACCTTGGACTGGCTTCTGATGAGGTGGGAATCCAGGGGTGACCACAATGGCTGAGGCTGTTCTTGTTGATCTGTGTTGTTGACCACGCATCATCTCAGTCCCTCCAGTGCCACTGATTGCGGAGTCCAGCAGGTATGCCGGGGGAAAGAGGCAGGCTGTCCGCCACGTGTGCCCGACCCTGGGCAGGGCCACAGAGAAAGTACCAGTGAGCCATCTGTGTCCCAGTGAAGCACAGACCAAAAAGAAAACTGACTGAAAAAAAAACAAAACTGGTGTTTGATCACATGTGATTGGAGTCCCAGAGAAGAGGAGATTAGGACAAAAATTACGTGACAAATAATTGCCGGAATTATAAACTCAAACCTCCGAGCACCTCAATAAACCACAAGCAGAATAAATACAACAAAAATAGAAGAAGACACACTATAAAATTCTGAAAGCCACTGATAAAAAGAAAAAGCAGCCAGAAAAAAAAAAATCACAGAACAAAGGTAAGAGTGACATGCATGTGGCAATTGGGTCTGCCCAGAGGACCAGTATTATGTGAAGGTGGACTGAGATCATTTAAAGATGTATATTGTAAGTTCCCCAGAGAAAACACAGAGGTGTAACTAATAAGCCAATTGTGCACATAAAATGGGATATTTTCAAGTAATTATTTTATCCAAACTAAGCAGGAAAGTTAAGAAAAAAAAGAACAAAGTACAGATAACACAAAGAAAATAGCAAATGGTAAACTTAAGTTCAACCACGCTAATAATGACATTAAATATAGACTAACAACTCCAACAGGACAGTTGCTAGACCAAGTACACAGAAAAAAACTGTTTATACACATATTGAAGGTAAAAGAATTGGAGAATATATGTAACATGCAAACAAGAGATAAGAAAGTTGATGTGGCAAGAATAACATCCCACTAAGTGGCCTTTTAGACAAGGAGAATTACCTGAGTCGAAGACGAGTGTGGTGCCATGATGAAGGGCTCGGTTCAGCTGGAAGACACAGTGACCCTAAAGGTGTGTGTACGTAATGACAGAGCTTAGGAGAAATAAACAAATCAAACCTAGTTGGAGATTTTAACACAATCCTCTCAGTAATCAATAGAACCACCAAGGAAACATAATTATGTAGAACATTTGAACAATGCCATTTACCAAATGGACTTAATTGCCATTTCAAGTGCACAAGAAGCAGTTGACAAAATAGACTATATGTTTGGCTAAAGAGTAAATCTCAATAAATTTCAAAATATTTAAATCATACAGAGTATGGACCCTCCCGAAAATGAAGCTAAATAATGGATTCTGCCCCTATTGCAGGGGCAGAACCGAGCTGCGCAGATACCTGCTCAGGAAGGAGGATAGCAGGCGTGTCCACGCTGACAGTCGGACTGACCGTTGCCATACAATGTCGTCAGGAGCTGGTTAGGTCTTGCCTAATTCTTTGAAATGGAATAAAAGCAAAAGAGTCCAAAATTTTGTTTCCAGTCAAAATAGAGGAACAGAGACTGGATCCCCTCTTCCTCCTGGTGAAAAACACGGATGGGTTTTTTTTCTCATTAGTGAGAAAACAGACAAAACACTGCTTTGCTCCAGCTGAACAAAGCTTAAAAGCAAGAGCTGAGAGAATGGCACGACTGTTTATAAGTAACTTACCTGCAGCCCCAAACAAAGTTCCAGAATATTCCCAGGAATGCAGAATTATCCAGCACTTGCAAAGCAGAAGTTACAATGTCTGGCATCTAATCAGAAATCGCCTCAATACCAAAAAGCAAGAAAAGATGACCTATAATTAATAAAAACAGACCCAGAAATGACTCAGGTAATGGAATTAGTAGATGAGGTCCATTTGCTATACAATATAACTATTACCTTGTTCAGAAAGCCAGTGGGAGACAAGATTTAGCATATCCAGTAGAGACATGAGAGATCTTTTATGAGACAGATATGAATTCTAGCATGAAAACTACAGTGTTGGAAATGCAAAATATATAGGTTAAGAGTAGGGGTGGATTTGTCATCACAGAAGATACAGTGGTACACACTATTCAGAACAAAATAAAGAAGAGAAAAATTTGAACTGAGCATCAGTGAATCACGGAACTTTCCCCAAGGAAAGAGGCAAAGAGAAAAAATACTTAGAGAAGTACTTTTACAAACTTGATATAAACTATGAGCCCACAGATCCAAAGAGCTTAGTCAGCTCCAAGCACAGGAACCATGTTGGAAACCACATCAGGCACATTATAATCAATGCTTAAACCAACGATAAAGGGAGAGTCAGCCAGGAAAGAAAAGACACACTTCATAGGATGAAAAAACACGTGCAGGAAAGCAGGTTTCTCATTAGAAATTAAGACCATCTGGAGGATAGTGAAACCACATCTACAAAACAGGAAAAGAAAAGGACAACTGCCAGCCTAGAATTCTTTACTCAGCAAAGATACCTTTCCAAACAGAGAAATAAAATTGTTTGGGACA